AAAAAAAAAAAAAAAAAAAGTTACACGTGCTGAAAAAAGTGATAGAAAATATAAAAGTGTCAAACACTCAAAAAATGACAAAATTCAAAAAAGTGACGAAATAAAAAAAAAATTGTGACATACAATAAAAAAAAGTGATAGAAATAGTATAATGGTGATATTCTCGTTGAATAATTAATACATATTTTACTCTGTTAAGACTTTGGATAGAAGTTTAGAAATAGCAACAGTTTTCAATCTATTTGTTTAATTTAAGACAAGATAACGATAAAATTATTCAATTTCACACATCGATAGCTTTCATGAAGGCAAACCAATCAAATTAAACCCTCGAAATTCATAGTTTACTATGCAACATTTATAGACCTTTGTGATTTTTCATACAATTACGTAGAATTTAGAATAAGAATTTTTAAATATAAAAAATAAAAACCTTTTTTTCTTTGTCCACGACAACAAATCTATTTAGAAGGTTTTAAAAGAAAACCAAAGATCCTGCAAAAGACAAAAGTGACAAGGTATATAACAACAAAAGAACAAGTAGACAAACTTCCAGCAAGCTAAGAGTTATTCAAGTTTTCTGCTTGCTAAAGGATTGGAGATCAGATTGAGCCTCCACTTAGCAACTCAATGAGCTCTTGTTTTTTCATCTTTGAGAATCCTTTCAAACCACGAGATTTCGCAAGAGCTCTCAACTCGGAGAGCTTCATTCCACTTAGATTGGCTATGATCGGGTTCACTTCTTTCGTATCATCGTCAGTTTAAAAAATTTCAGAAGTTTCGTCTTTCAATATTTGATCGAACACGTTCCCTTCTGAAAAACTTGGCTCTAAACTAGGTTCGGCATTAGTTTCCATCTCTTTGCTTTTCCCATCTACATTGCCACGTGAGAGAGAATTAATAGAGCCCTTGTTTGAGTAAATTAGCTTGAATTTGACTTGAGACACTGGAGACCTTTTACGGAAGTTAGATGCCGGCCTGGTAACATGTGGTTGGCTTTGTTGCATCTCTTGCTTCACATTGTTAGAGTCTACGATGCTTGTGCTGCTGTCTTCAGCAAACGCACCTATCTGTTCAGATGGGTTTTGAGCGTGTTTATTACGAGAGTAAAAATCTTAATTAGTTTGAGGGTATTATTCTAATTTTTTATTTTTGGAGGGTAATAGGCTTAATTATCCCTTTTTTAATATGTTTTTGGCCCAAATTAAAAATCGATATTTTAGTAATTTTGATAAAAGTTGATGATATATGATTAAAAAGTTGATAAAAGTCAACAGTCTCATAAAATGTATAGTTGAAAATGAATTTTAAAAAAATTGAGACCAAATAGAAACTTAATTTTTCACTTGCAAGACTATAGATTCACCCTCTTAGGGAACAGAACGGGGTGAGCAGAGTTGACTGAAGAAGAAGAAGAAGACTATTTTTCCCCTTATTTTCCCTTTTTCTATCATTTTCTCATACTCCTCGTAAGAAATTTTTGTTTATTTAAAGTTTAAGGGTAAGAGTATTTTTTATACAACTTCAATAGAAAAATTGGACGAAATCATCGGAGGATCATCTGCTTGAGTGAATAAAAGATTGGATTTGATACATGTAATAAAAATTTAATGGGAACGAAATTGTGATAAAACATAAAGATTGAATACTGAAAGTGTAATTATATTCACCCTAGCAATTACATTAGATTTTTTAGTCAATTTTATTAATACTAGTCGACGCACGTGCAATGCACGTGTTGTAGTTTAGTTGGCTACCTAATAACATTCAGTGATTTTTAGTTATTTTCATAAGAAAAATGTTATTCATCCCCAGTGGGGATGCATCCCTATTTGTAATCTCTCTTACAATGAAAAACTGATTTCATGTTATACTGTATGTATGTTATGGCATTATAAGAAGGATTCGAAATTGATACAACTAATGCTTCGGAAAAGGCATCCCAATAGTTTCGTCAATAACGTAGGCAGAAAACAAGTATTCACATTGCATAAACCTAAGCAGTTGCAACTGCTAGAATGTTTGGATAGTTAAGGAAAGAAAGATTATAGACAAGGAAATCGTCGAGCATATTGTCTATATCAGTGTTACTCAGCCAACTTAGTTTGTCCTCTTCTTTTTCTTATCTTTTATCTTATACGAATTCTTCAATTGCACGGTAAAATTTGATGACTTCAGTCCAAAAAAAACGATATGATCATGTGGAACAGATCCAAATAGTTTGAGATATTCTCAATTCTTAAAATGAAAATTAGAAGACCACTTAACATGATAATTAGGGATCTAACAAAGACATCGGCAAAATGAGGACGTGTTTCACATAGTGAAGATGCCTAAAATGAGCATTCTCAATAATATCCTTGGTGTCAACAATGATGTAGCCACAAACAACAGAAGATTAAAATACAACTGCAAGATAACAAGAATATAAGCAATCTGATTACTTTTTGCAGATTACTAAAAATTAATGCAGGTATGACCATCTGCTTTTAGTTGCTGGAGGAATTGGGCCAACACAGTTTCCGAGCATTTTGCAAGAAATTGGCTCTAAACTACATAATGGCAGAAATAGATATCCAGCTTGAATACAATTCGTCTACACAGTATAAACTTCTCAAGAAATATGCGTGTTAGATCCAATCCTACCGCAGCTTCTAGACATTGAACAATTTCATATTAAGCTGGAAATATTGTACATGTTCAAGTTATGCAACACATGGGCCTGAGAGTTTAGCTTGGATGGCAGCCATTGCCATGTTTTCTTCAATCATATTTCTACTGTTGCTCGGGGTTGACACCTCGGATGACACCCTTTCGTGAACTCCATCCATGTTAGGGAGGTGTCATCGATGTGTCATCCGAAGTGTCAACCCTCGAATGTACAAATAACATCATTGTTAAATTTCACTCTTTTGTGCTTGGAAATCAAAGCAATTGTCCTTTAAAGTTTAATCCCAAGAATTAAATTGTGCTTCCCTCATTTTATAAACTATTTACGAACACTCATATCATTTATTATACATGTATTTCAATAGACTAATAAGTACTAATCACTGAATTGTTACTAATTTCTATATATTTATAATTTAAATTTTATATAAACACTTTCCGTACATACTTTATCGACTAAACTCCTATTTTATTGTTTCTTAAGTATGGTTTTATTTTGGAAAATATCAAATAGATAAAATGTTATTTTATTGAAAAATAGTTCTTATTTAGATATCGTTTGGAAGTGATTTTTTAAAATAATGTTTGGTTAAATTTGAAAAATTATGTGATGACATCATACATCTTGATCCTTCCGACTTCACGACGGGAAATATGATGCCATATGCAGTCTGCACGAAGAAATTATACACCCTTTTAATATGCAGTGAAAAATGATCACGCTCATCTAATTACTTTTTATTAGAAAACTTAAGTACATATATAAAAAGAGTTACATACCGAGAGCAATCTAGCTCCAAGTAACAGATGCTTGGGTGAAGGAAATGGTAGCAGCAAATGACCTACACCATATATGGCCATGGCAAAGAAGTGAGCAACCAAGCTCATAGGCCTTGAGTTCAAGCCAGATAGGAGGGTAATTGATCCTTGTGAGTAAATGCTTCCAAGGCTCAAATAATGAAAACACGATTCTCGCATTTCTCGCTGGCTTGATCTGATGCAGGACAGAAGACCTTGTACAAGGCACCTGCTAATGTGTTTATTGTAGAAGCCATTGGCTGCAAACCAAAACTGTAGCTATATCAATAATCTAATTCAAAAATTCCTTGGGTTCCATTTCAAATTTTGTTAACTTAGTAAGTGGAGTTGCCTAATCCCCTATCTAATGACTGCAGAAATGAGGCTAAAGAACCACACATCATGTCATCATACATCTTGATCCTAACAGAGAATGAGATTTGTGATCAACCTGATTCGTATTCTCATCAAATTTGAACACTGGGGTAGGACTACTTTCAATAAACTCCCTTTTCTCATCAGGTGTCAAGCTCTCCATCAATTCTTCATTGATATAAATATCTGGTTCATACATGAAATTGACAGTTGCTGCAGGTGACCATTTAGCATGATCTTTACCAATTCCTTTCCTAGCTATGGCTCTTAGAATCAGCTCCTGACCACGGCGTAGCTTCACAATTATGATTCCCCTATACATAGACATAAATCATCTAAGGATTCATTTCCCTAAAAAATTATAGTTGCTAATGATCATATATGCAAGATCAACAAAAATGAAGCAGAAACAACAAAAATGTGGCCAAAATTGTTAGTTTGTTACTCTGCAAATAAATGACACAATTTGCCACAAGTCTAGCAAATGGGGCTCCTGCATCATATCATATTAGGAAGCTGAGAAATGGAATAATCCCAAAGATAAGAGAATAGGATCAGTTCTTGAATTACACTTCAAAAACCATAGCAGTACACATTGAAAGTTGTAAACACACAAAGCAAAATGTGTTTCTGGACTCTAGGCATCAAGTTTTTATAGACCTAAATATTTTAAATGAGATAATATATTACCACGAAAAATATACACACATAAAGTTCATGGCTAAAACGTTATTACCATGAACAATGTTTCTGGAATTTAGGCAATAGGCGTCAAGGCTGAACCTTCAAATCTCCCCTTCTAAGTAAGTTGCTTAGAAGGCCTTATTCTAACTTAAAGATGAAAAAAATGTCAAGCATACCCTCATTTAAAAAGGTTTCCTCCAACAAAGTTGTGTTTAATTTAGTTTTCCTCTTTAGATTTTCATGATTACTCCCTGATTTTTCTAATTGTTGCACAACATTGTTTGTAAACAGTGTGTCTCGGTGATCCGGATAATGAAGAAAAGAAAGAAATCAACTGTATACGCACATTGTTGATCATTGAACAAATTTTGGACGTGCATCGTTTCTCCCTATTGCAATCACACAAATCTATACATTTACTGGGTGGGAGGATTACTCGACCCCATAAAACTCGACAAACAGGGTTGATAATATTGAGTTAAAGGTCAAATTTAGAGACAACTCCCCACCTTATTAACTCGGCAAGGTCAAGTTCACCTAAGCCATGTGTCTAAGGCTAAGAATGAAAAGTTTCCTGTCTTCAATTCAACCATAAAATTGTGGTAGAAGGCCATTTTTCATTTTCTATCGCTCTTGGTCTGTTCTCGATAAAATCCACATCTTTCAACTCTATATTACTTTCAATAGCCTACTTTAATTATACAAATAAACATCCGAAAAGCAAATAGATCAAGAACGCAAACTAAAAGGCATAGCGTAAAATCCATTATTTGCCAACTTTTTGGCATGACATTTCTTACTTTCTGCACTAGATAAAGCTATCAAAATGTTTGCCCAGTGCAGATCTTTCCAATCTCTGGTAAATTTCAGTCCAAGAAAGAAGACTGAAGCTTCATAAAGCAACAACTCTTTTGCACAAAGTTTAATCTAACAGTACAGGAGGTAGCGTGTAGTTCTTTAACACAAAAAATTATTCGACTAAAAATTTTTCTATCTTATATTAATAGAAGTAACATAAAATTAGTTAAAAGTATTTATTTATCATAGATGCATGCTTTAATTACACATATGATCAATGTTTTCAAAGCTCGAGCAATAGGAATACAATAAAACCACTTCTTTATTACAGCCCTATATAAGTTTTTCATAATTGCAAAGAATTCATTGACGTATATATGCAAATATAAGATTTAACCTATACAGTATAGAATCCGAATGATTTATTATTTAACTGAACATCCATAATATAAGAAACCTTTACTACAAATGTAAAAAATTCAACTAACTATAAACAATATAGGAAAGAAAATATAACAACATATAAAAAATTAGTCCGCTGGGGAAATTCACAAAGTTTAACAAGAAAATAATATAAACAAAATGAACAGAAATAATAAATAAAAATGCAGAATTAACTGAAGTTACAAAATTGTGAACAAAACTTACAAAATGAGAACGATGCAAATAGAATTGTATATTCCACCACGTAGAAATTGATTTCCTCCTACATGGAAAAAAATATAAAATAAGTTTCAAATAAGGAGAAATCAAACACCAACTGATTAGAGATGAACGAATTTATAATAATTTAATGGAAGATAAATTGAGAGACACAAACAGAAAAATGAACGAAAACCTTACACTAAAAAGGAGAATGAAATCAACCATAAAAAATAAAAGACAAAATAAACATAACTATATCGGTCAACATATTAGAACCGAGCGAACAACAATTAATAACAGAAAGAAAGATCCTCAAACAATATAATAGACGGAAAAAGTTAAAGGGTCTTATGAAGATTGCAATGAAATAAAATGAACCCATAACCCCAAAAATTCAGGAAACACTACAATCAAGGTGATTAATAATCAGTCATCATAGCTGGTGCATATTCACTTAGGGCCTGTTTGATAGCCCTTTATTTTCCATGGAAGTTGGAATTGAAATACCGTTTCCTAAATTTGTCGTGTTTGATTGCACTTTTTTTTCCTGGAATTGGTTTTCCACCTTTTTCTAGGTACAATCCTATGATGCACAAAANNNNTTGCAATGTGAACAAATTCTAAATACAATGGTAAAAAAAATTTTCACTTTTATTGACAACTTCCATGCAAAACAAAATCAAACGAATGATATTCGGTATGGTAAATTTTTTTTTTTTTTCAAATTTTTTTTTACAATTGGAACAAATTTTAGACCCAATGGTAGAAAAAATTATCACTTTAATGGACAAATTCCATAAAAAATGAAGTCAAATGGACACAAAACTTTCTACATTTTCCATAGAAAATTTTACCAATCAAACACAATTAATTACAATTCCCATTAAAATATTTTCTAGGAAAATCAATTCTCTGTAAAACATTTTCTTTCCAACCATTTTCCAACTTTGCAATCAAACAGACCCTTATACCCTCAAATTCTAGTGAAAATTTTATCTTCAAAATCAATGAAACAAACACAAAAGAATCAAAGATGAAATGTATAAAAAAAATGATCAAGAAAGAGTAAATCATTATTGACCAGTAGAAGCTTTCTCTGCTTTTTTGAGGCAAAATCAGAGCTGTTGAATCATAAGAAATGGAAAAAAAACACGAGAAAATAAAAACAACATAATTACCAAAGAGAACAATTGCTAGCACAATGAATGAACCATTCCTTCTCCAAGAACCACCCATGACCAAGATACTCCAATTCAAAATTGAACGTGAGGGCAAAAATTGTTGCTGTACCAATATAATATTATTAATGCACAATAATTTCAGCTCAATTACAAGATTATACAAGTGAAACATAGCTCAAACCTTTCAACCGAAATAATCTTTACAAGTACAGAATGGAAAAATAAAAACCTAGAAAGAATTCAACTAAACCTAACATGAAATATTGGCATAAGACTTCATGTAGATAAAAAAAAAAATGAGAGGAGAAGATAAAAAAAGGCGCACCAACTTGCAGAGACATTAAAAAAAAACCGAAGAAAGAACCCTAAACTACCCAAAATTATCTGATTCTGATTTGAATTTCAGAACATCTGGAAGTTTAATCTTTGTGAAATTATTTCTTAGTCACTCTGCCTTTTCTTTTGGGGGGAAAACCCGGCCGTGACACGGGCGGTATCTCCATGCTACTCCACCTTCCGACCAACTCTCCACCACGATTCGCCATCGAAGAACAGCGAGCTTTAAGAATGAAACAAATCTAGGGAATATGGATGAAAAACAAATGGGGAAATGATAAATGACGTCGTTTTGGTTGACGACGGGAGCATTCGACACCTGTCAAAAAAAAAAAAAAACTCACTCTTTTATGTAGTTAGGAAAATAGATCAAGTTGTAGTTAAGATAAAATTTAAATTTAAATCGAAAAATCGGTAGTTCAAATTGAATTTTTGCATCCGAGTTTATAAATAGATTGAAATGAATTATGTGTAAGTATAAATTTATTTTAATTTATGGTTGAAAATAAAGTTTTATAATTTATAATTTTTTGTTAAACGAAGACAAATTAAAAGAAGAAATCAGTGGTTCTTGTTTCAATTGAATTTTAACCCTAATAATTGGGCATGCGAACTTGCCCAACTCTCTCTATTAACGGAGTATTGCTCCTCGACCACCCCCATCGCCACCGAGAACCACCATTGCCATAGCCAAAAATAAGTGTGTGCAAATAAAATCGAAACAGAACCCAAACAATAGTAATATACCAAAGTAAAAACTCAACTTCCCGCACAATTCATCTATGGATAACCATATTACAAACCCCAAATCCGAGTCAATGCGAGTCCTCGTTCGCCCCTCGAATCCCACACCTCCAGTCCCACCACCGGATCCCCCTCAAAATGGTGTCGTCGTTGTGGGGTTTATTGGAAGACGTCACGAGGACGTGGCCCAGCTTATGAACCGAATCATTGACTCCAATGTGGTCGGCTCGGGAAATTTGGACAAGCCATTCCGCATCGAAGATGAAAAGAATAACGCGGAGATAAAGAAATGGTTGGAAAGCAGGAAATTGAGTTTTTTTCATGACGAGGACAAGGGAATTCTGTACTTGCAGTTTGCCTCTGCTCGGTGTCCAGTAATGGATGGTTCGTTGGAATCCCAGTTCGGGTTGGATTCGGTTTTCGAGGACCAAGAGCTTGGGGATCTTCAGGGGTTGCTCTTTATGTTCTCTGTAAGTTTGTTTTTAACATGGTTTTGCTACAATAGCTCTTTTAATTGTCATTCTGCACTTATATTTTGCTGCAGATGTAGTTTCGTATTCATATGCATATATGTAATGCAGTGTAAGTTTTAGTGTTAATTTAATTCATGAAGGAATTTGAAAGGCATTTATATTGTTTAGTTTAAAGATTAAGTAAATGAGTCTTGTTCCCCCAAGAAAAAAACAGTTACACCGAGATATGTTTATTGGAAAGAATCGCATAAGGGGTTCATAGTCGTATATCCATATTGCTTGGTTCACTAAAATGTGTATACTCAGAGCTGCAGATGTAGAGTTCTGTGTGGAGGCCGGAATAGAAATTCTTGATTGCCTTTGATCAATAATCCACCTTGAATATGAAAATCACAAGTAGTGCTCATATTACTAAATTTGTTCCAAACTTTCCCGGAATCATCGTCTTCTATATACGATTTTTTCTCAGCAATCAAAGACAATAACTTTTGTGCGAATTGTGGCGAGTAAGGATTTGATAGAAAATTTGAACTTCTGTAGAAATATAATTTACCATGCATGCATGTTCATTGTCTTTGAGTTAGATATACTTCAAAGCTCGATGATAAGTGCACAAAACAACTTCTTGTTGAACTGAGTAATGATCCTAATGTTTAAGAGCTCGAATAACTGCATAAAATTCAAGTTCATAAGTAGTTCAGTTTTGTCAGTCTCACCAGCCTTCTCGCTGAAAAATTTCATCGAAGGTACTATTGGGTTATAATAGGCACACCCTTGTTTCAAGCATACTCATGTACTGTAGACTGACTTTATAGAAATGCTCCAACATTGACTCGAACATGAGACCTCTGACTCTATTACCGATTTTGTTGTAAAAGCGTATTTGAAATTCTTAAAATAAGAAGAAAGTTGAGAAAACTTGAAAATTTGTAGAGAATAATTTGACTGTAATGAATTGGTGATTGAAAAAGTGTAAAAAATCTTTATTTATATAAGCAAATTAATTTCTTAATCTAATGATTAAGCAATTAAAATCCTAAACGGAGTAAAAAAAAAACATATTTTTAAAAGAAACAGGTCTATGCTAAACTAGAAAGAAGAAAAGTATAGATAAAATCATATTACAACTAGAAATCTTGTTTGGAATAGAGATTGTACTACATCAAGTAAACTGTTTTTTAAGTTTTCTGTTAACGAGGCAAATAGATGCTTAGTCAGAATGTGCTTTTGGGAATATGATTGGAAGTGAATATGTTCTTTGTACAATTTACTTTAAACGATCATATTGTAGAGTCACGTACGAACACCGAGCTATCTATTTTGGTGCTGATAATCCATTTAAACATGAGTTTCGGTCAGCTTGCTTCTGGATCTCGTTTACAAGTTTCGAATGATGTGTACAATGTATTTATCTTTCTTTATAGGCTAAAGATAGATGTAGAATTTATAATGTGGTATTTTTGTGAGTTTTAAAGAAATGAAATTTTGCAGTGATGTTAATGTGCTGAAAAGATGCAAGAAGTATGAAGAGAACCTAAATTTTCTAATCAATGAAGAACGAGTAAAAATATTGAATTTAAATTTATTACGAAATGGCAAGAGGCAAAAGATATATACTGATGTGATTTCCTTTTATATTCGTGTCTGAGCATGATAATTGGATGCATGGCATTTACCTCATTGTGGTTAATCTTTAATATGAGAAATACTTTTATTTGAAAATTAGTTTTACCCAAAAAACGAAGTAAAATGAAAGATGTTAAGATGTCAAAGTAGTTAAATGTGCATTTGGAAATGAAGTCGTGAGTGAGGCTTGTTTTATTATATGCACTACGCAGCATTCGATCAAGTCTATTGATGATACTAGACTACCAGTCAAATTAATTTCTTACTGTTCAGCGGATATTTTAGAATCCTGACTCTATCTAGGTAGGTGTGTATCCCTTAAATGCTATTCACACTATAAGTCTACTCAGTTTCTCATTATTGTCAAATCATATCCTTAAGACATGATAGTTTAAATATGTCTAATAGACAATGTTTAAAATGGCTCTATCAGGTAGGGATGGGAGCGGGTTGGTTCAGTTTGGTTCGGTTTTTTTCGGTTCCAAAAATTTTCGAGTATTTAGTAAATGGAATCGTTGGTTCCAAATATGATTTTGGAACCGTTCGGGTTCGGTTCGATTCGATTCGGTTCCGTACTATAATTAAATTTTTTAACATTTAAAATAATACTACATAAATACACTTGAAAGTATATTCTAATATTAATAACAAAAAGTAGATACAAATACCAAGTTCAATCTTAACTTTTACAAATTAACGTAATCTAATTTAATAACATATAAATAATAAGTTGTCAAATACAAATGCCAAAAAGTAAATATTACTAATAAAACTTCGATAATTCATATCAATAATTCATTTGTTTTAAACATTGAAGTCTACATAAAAATGAAATATAAATTAGAAATTATAAAGATAAAATATTTTAAAATATTGATAATACTTACCAACTATTTAATGTAATCATCAGTTGCTTGACTTTCCATACTAATTATTAAGAAATTATACAAGAAAAAATTGAAAAAATACAACTAACAAACATAAATAAATTCTAAATTGTTCAACTAATAAAATTTAATAAGAAAAAAATTATTACTTTGTTTAGAAAAAATAAAAGACATTGATTTATCCAATATTTAAAAAAAAAATCGGTTCTTATTCGATTTTTCGGTTCTTGGTCTAGAACTGAGAACCGAACCAAACCATTCGGTTCTCGATTCGGATACCCGTTCAGGTATTTCATTTAAAAAAACCCGCTCGGTTCGGTTTGGACATTTTGTTCAGCCCTACTATCAGGTATTGAACTCTATGAGGTAAGGCGTAAGCCTCAAGACATCATAAAATAATTCATAAGAATATAAAAATACATAAATATGCTCATAATAAACTATAAACCATCTTGCAAAATTAATAAACTATAGACCATCTTGCAAAATCATAGAAATACAACAACAATATTATTAGTCTAATTTACAAACCAAAACTTCAACTAATATCTTTGAGAAATCATTAACATATTTGATTATCATGTCATTCTCCTCATTGCAGTTACTTATCATTCTTTATCATCGTTGTTCACTTACAATAGTGCCTTCTCCTTACCTTTTTGTATAAAGTGTTCTAGGTTGTAAAACAACTGCCTGAAAAGCTGAGGCCAGTATTGAAATGCTCAGTTAAGGCAAGATAAATGCACATACACGTCAACTGACTTGCCCTGCTAGCTCGGTAAAAAAATATTAAGTGCAATAGATTTAAAAAAAAAAAGCGGCGCAAGCCGACACAAAGGCGTATTTCGAGGCATTTAATGGAAGTTTTATGTGAAGTGAGAGTCGAGGCATAAGCCTCAAAAAGTTTTTTAAACAATGAGCTCAAAGTTATTAGAGCAAGTTGACTATTAATTTGCTGATATTTCCACTTGAGACTGCAGATTGCAGTGTTTCCTCATCTTTTCTTATATTTATATGTTCAAGCTATAGTAGTATGGGGAATGCAATTTTTATTTATGGGGTTATAGGAGATTTATTTTCCCAAAATAGCAGCTCGTGGAAGAGAACTTCAGCTTTTATGTGCCATGTTTAATTGACAAGACTCAAGTGCAGTAGAATCTTGTTTCAACTAGTAATTTTTTGTGTTTGACATTGAAAACCTTTTTCTGCTTTCACGATTTTAAAATTGTTCAGTTTAGCAATTTGATTGTACTTTAGCAATGCAGGTTTGTCACATAATTATACTTATCCAAGAGGGATCACGCTTTGATACTAAGATTTTGAAGAAGTTTCGAGTGTTGCAAGCTGCTAAACATGCAATGGCTCCATTTGTGAAATCACAAAACATGGAGCCAGTTACATCTGGGTTACATTCTTCATCTTCACGAATCTCTCTCTCTGGAGCATCACCAAACAATCCTTCTCCTTCTAAAAGCCGAGGCATTTTAAATCGTAATGCTTCAACAATCACACTAATGTCCGGTTTAGGGTCATACTCCGCTTTGCTACCTGGACAATGCACTCCTGTTATACTTTTTGTTTTTCTTGATGATTTTTCTGATATTCACGAAAGTGGTAATCTGGAAGAGCATACAGAGACCTCTTCATTAAACCAGTCATTAAGTTTGAATAGTTTGGCTAGACCAACCATGACCACGAAAGGATCTGGGTCAGTTGTTGTGCTTGCAAGACCTGTAAATAAAATTGAGGGTGGACCAAGGAAGAAATTGCAGTCATCCCTAGAGGGACAGATTCGTTTTTCAATAAAAAAATGTCGGACACTTTCGGGTTCTGAAACCAGCCATGCTGGGTCAAGAAATGGAGGCATTTCTAGTTTGGCTCCTCTGTTTTCCCTTGACGCATCAAAGGCTGTAGCACTTGTAGATGTTTGTTTAAATCAAAGCGGTGAATCTCTTGAGTTTGCCATTGGCATTATAGAAGATATATTGAACGGGAAGATGACTTCAGATACTCTTTTGCTTGAAAGCCACAGCCAGAGTGCAAACAGAGAGGACATTCTATCTGTGAAGGAGTTCATCTATAGACAGTCTGATATCCTGAGAGGGAGAAGCAGCTTGGTCACTAGCACTACCAGTAGCTCAGCTGCTGGTGTTGGCATGGTTGCCGTTGCTGCAGCTGCAGCTGCTGCCTCAGCCTCAGCTGCTTCTGGAAAATCATTCACTGCTCCTGAGCTTCCAAGTTTGGAGATCTGGTTATCTTCCTGTCAGCTTATTCTACATAGAATTCTTTCAGCGAGACATGGGTGTAAGGATAAAACTGAAATCAATCCATCCGGAGAAAATGCACACAAAGCTTCGGATCCTTTAGAGTCTGCAGTATCTTATTTGGAGAGTGGTATAGGACTGAACACTAAGTTTTCCACTTCGTGGTGCCAAAAGGCTTTTCCAGTTGCTAAAGAGGTTTATTTAAATGAATTGCCCCCTTGTTATCCAAGTTGTCAGCACGAGGCTCATTTGAAGAAAGCTCTGCATGCATTTAATTCAATGGTCAAGGGACCTGCTGTGCAGCTTTACCTGAAAAAATTGGAGGATGAATGCACATCCATCTGGAGTTCTGGAAGGCAACTATGTGATGCAGTTAGTCTGACAGGAAAACCATGCATGCACCAAAGGCATGACCAGAAAACGCTTTTGGAAGACGATTTCAAGCCTCATTCCAGTGGCTATGTATTCCTCCATGCGTGTGCCTGTGGTCGTTCTAGGCGACTGCAACCAGATCCTTTTGATTTCGAAACAGCTAATGTTACATACAGTTGTTTTCCTGACTGTGAAAAGCTTCTTCCAGCCGCTCAACTTCCCCGAGCGAGCATTAAAGACCCAATTCAACCTTCAGCATGGTGTTTGGTCCGAATTGGGGGTGCAAGGTACTATGAGCCTTCTAAAGGTTTATTCCAGAGTGGTTTCTGTGCAACTGAGAAGTTTCTTATGAAGTGGACTATGTTTCTTGAGAAGCAAGAAGGCACAAATCATTCACCACGAAATGTTTTGGAGCAAGTTTCCTTAAATAGGTCAGGTAACAACATAAAGGCTGAAGCTGTTGCAGAAGCAGAAACCAAGACGTCTGGTTCTGCTCAGTTGCAAACTGGTAGAATACAAGGTGGAGGTGGAATGCTAAAAAGGCCCTCTTCTGATAATATCAAAGTTGATGATAAAGACATCAGTTTTGGTAGAGGGTTATCCAACTTCACAATGAGAAAACCGTTTTCTGAAGTTGTTGCTGGATCAGCTGCTACAAACTCTGGTTTTCCTCCACTTCTATCGAGAAAACCACCTCTACCAGATGCAGAAAAGGGTGTCAAGCAACATGGTGCAAGATACAGGGATACGGAGAAAATTAGTGGAACTGCTCATAATCAAGAATCTCAAAAAGTTGACAATACTCCTGCCACTGGTGAATCACTGAATGGTAATGAGACTGTTGTTGATGGATATGGAGCTGGTAATCCATCTTTAATTGAAAGGAGCAATGTAGTTCCTGTAAATATGAATGGCAGCGACAAGGTTAAAGTGCCCACTCCTTTGAAGCATGTCACTATGTATGTTGGGTTTGAACATGAGTGCCCTCGTGGGCACCGGTTTATATTGACTCAAGATCATCTCAATGAACTTGGTTCTCCTTATGCAGTGCCTGAAAAGTCTGTTTTCCCTTCAACAGTGGGAAATTCTGACCACAAAGAAGATCCTGCAAATTTGGGTAAAATAGGTGGCCATGGTAAAACACGGAGACCGTCAAATGGGGTAGTTTCTGGTGGTAGCGGTAAGGCAAGAACCTTGGAGAAGTCAAAAGGGAGAGTAGCTAACCAACAATTGTATAATGACAAGCATATGCAATATGCAAGACCACCAAAAGAGCACATTGGCGTTTCAGCAGTTGCTGCTTCTGTGAAAGATCTTGAATCTAGCCTTCAACCTGCTGCTCTTGACGATGGTGGATGTGCCTTCTCAATGTTGAATAGAAGTTTACCGGTATATATGAACTGTCCGCACTGCAAGGACTCAATGAACAAGAAAGATCCGTCCAATAATAAATTTGCCAGTGCTGTTTCACAGCTGCAGAGGATCTTTGTGGTATGAATTATTTACTTCATTCTTATATTCAGTTGAACCCTTCCTCTAGTTTTTGGCTACCTCTTAATTTATTTTCTTGTTTGCTGCAATAAAGGCTAACTTTTAAGATTTATGGCTCTTCTCATTTTTCAGACTGTAGTTTGGCGCTTATGAAAATTTTCTTACTTGGTCATGGATAAGTTACTGCTATTACTTAAATCCTTTTTTTTTTTGTATCTTTTATTCTATTTAGGGTTTATTTTGAATTAATTTCATTCAATTTTCCTTGCTCAACCATTAATCATTTTTCTTCTTTAAAACAAACTTTATGAATTTGATTAATTTTGAAGGTTGAAGTAAACCTTTTGAATTCCAAGTAATCCAAATGCATGTATTAAATAGCTTGGGAAGGACTTTCTTTTTTGTTTTCATTAGGTATTAGATGTGCTTTCTTCAGTTATGGTATACCATCAGTTTATTGGCATGCAAAATATTTTTTTATCTCTAATGACTCGGAATTAATTACTTATATTATGCTTTCGTAACGTGTAGGTCACACCGCCATTTCCGGTAATTTTGGCAGCAGGCCCAGTTATACAATTTGAGGTATGCACCAGTTGCTGAATTGTCATGCATCACTAATGGTTTCGTCAATGACCTGTGAGAAAATATTTTTACTATTTCTTATAGGTAATATAATTTTACTTTTGTATGTCCTAATACACTTGGGTTGTTGTAAACCATTAAAAAAAAAAAACCATATGCGAAGCATTCTCTCACACATTGTTTTCATGTTTTTCTGTGTCTATTCATTAGTGTCACAGATAATGTGGAGCAATAACATTGCAACCTGGTGCTTGATGTCTCATTGCTCAACCTTGCTGTTCATTTGCCTTTTACTATTTTGAAAAATTAGAAAGTAGGATGAGTTTGCTTGTTTGGAAAACATTTTATTATATCTTTCCAGGGAAGGGTTTGGAGACGTGGACCCTTATTGAATATATTATGAAGAAGCATCTGCAATTATTTGGTAAGGACAATAATTGAATATTCTAGAATATTTAGGTAAAATTCAGAAGAATAATAAAGATTTCTGGGAAGAAAGTAAATTCAGCAAAAACATTTGGGAACAATAAAACAATATAGGAAAAAACTTTAATTAATCAGTTGATAGCCATCAATTTTGAACTCAGTTGATTTCGCATTCTTCTAATGTTTTTGATTGGTAAGCTAGCTTTCAGTGAATGTTCTTGTACAGAAAATAGTAACTTTACCTTGAAGTAGATGTCATAATACTGAGATGTCGTAATGTTTGCTGCTCAATTTTGCATTAGAAATTTGGACTATAGGAAAAAGTTGAAGAATCAGTTCATAACCATTAATTTTGATCAACTTCTGGAATTCTGTTGACTTCACGTTCTCACTTGTTTACTATGGATATGCTAGCTTTCATTGAATAAAATATTGACTTTACCTTGATGTAGAGATCATAATACTGAGGTTGTCACCCACTGTTTGCTGCTCGATATTGCTTTAGACATTTGGATTACAGGAAAAACTTAAAGGAACAGCTCATAACCATCAATGTTGATAACCTTAGGATTCAGTTAATTTCGCGTTCTTGTAATGCCTTTTATAGGTTAGCTAGTTTTTAATGGATATTCTTGTATACAGAAATCAGCATAGTAACTTTACCTTGAAGTAGATATCATAATACTCAGGTTGTCTCCTTATATTTCTGTTCAATATTGCATTAGACATGTTAACTATGGCTATGAAGATCGTTGTCTTGTTTGGTTAAATTTACGATGCTTGAGCATACAATAAATTCCCAATTGAAACAAAATAAAGCCCAAATGGTATTATCTCATCTATCAAAGTTGGGTTTTCTTTTTGTTTGAAATGTATATACTGTTTATGGCTGGAGTTATACGATTCATTCTATCACTAAAATCTATTAGTTTATTAAATGCAATTCACTTTAATTTTTGATAGTAGGTGATGGATACGCTGCTTCTGTTTTATGCAGGAACCTACATTCTGCATTTCATCTTAATTATGATGAATTTGTATTGTCAATACTATGCTATTATCATTTAGTTCATTTTGCTGATTTTTCCGACTTTGCAAAATCCCAACAGAAATTAAGGATATATTGGGAGAGAAAAAATAAACACTAAATAAATAATTTCCACCTGTTATTAACGTCATTAACAAATAATAAACGGAGTCATACCCTTTAGCTTCATTTTCTCATCTAGAGGCGAAATCACGAAAAGTGTCAAAGTTCATCTTAAATCACTTAAAATTTGATAAAAGAATTATTCAGTTCATAAGTTAATCTGTTGGTGTAAATTGGTCAATTTACTTGCACCATCTTGTTTTCAACATAGTAAGTTGACTCTTCATTTGCATGGAGAAATGATGTGTTTGGTTCTGGTCTGCACTTACAATTCACATCTAGCTGCCAGAAACAAAGCAAACTGCCTGACTGGTATTCATTGGATTATGGGTAGTAGAAATACTTGGTGTAACATAATGGGAAGGGAATATCTGTTGTTTAGGAAAATTTGTCATTCTTCCTAGTTCGTGCCTACTATATATAGGAAGTAGTATGCTTTTTTCAATAAATTACTATTGATTGATTGATTTCACCTATTTTGTCATTGTTGCCTTAAAAACTGTAATAGTAGAGAAACTGCATAGAAGATAAAAATGTCACCCCTATCCTACAGTCCCCAGTACCATAGAAGTGAATTACTTTCTCATGCTGCTTAAGAATTTCTAGATTGTACATTTGAAGAATTAACTGAGACATGTCATTCAGTCGTGGCACCCGCGACTTCATGGACATCCTGCATTCCTCTTTTGTCAATTACCTCCCCAGATACGTCACCATCAGTAAGTGCAGTATAAAACTTAATATTAGGTAATATATGTTCTTAGACAAAAAGTCGGCTTAGATCGATTTGAGAAATAATGTTGTAGACCTTGCCCCATACTTTTGCCAATAGTCAATACACTTAAATTATTATGGCAAAGTGTTATGCCACAAGACTTGATGATGATGATGATACTCGAAAATATCCTGAGCAGTCGCTTGCACTTTACGTTTATGATGCTGCGCCTATTGGCATTTGGGCAAGTGGATATTATTTAGCAATACGATACTACTATAACTTTTTTCTTGTCGATGGAGGACTTTATAGCATAGAAAAGAATAGTTTATCAGGTAGAAACTCCAACTAAAACGAAAACTTGAAGGCATAATGTATGCATGAGATTCAGTTGCACAGTGTTTATCTTTTAGTAAATATTTTTAGATGTCATATTATTAATAAAGAATTATGTAACTTTCGCAATCTAATTATTTCAGGTAGCATTTTCAGAATGTGGCCTTTTCTTTTCAGCTAATTAGTACTGTATCACACTACTTAATTACAGGCATCGTGCTTACCTACCTCTGTTCTTGACCGTGAAAAAGAACTACAATTCAGCATGGGTTGTCAAATGATTTTGCCTCCGGATAGTTTCCTCTCACTGAAGCTACCTTTTGTTTATGGTGTACAACTGGAGGATGGAAGTCTGCATTCTCTTAAACCTTCTGAACATCAACCGCATATGACTGCCTGGATTACCAAAGGAACAACCTTGCAAGTCGTGTCGAAAATCAGTCCTGATCAAGGAAGACTGGTATAATTAATATCGAAGAACTTTTGATTCACGCAGGAGATTCGCTTCTACTCTTAGTTTTTGAAGTTTGAATTCTTGGAGAGTTCTCCGGGCATCAGGTATATATTCCTGAGCATGCTTAAGCTATTTTGTTCAATTAATATGAATCGATTTCTCATTCAAGAAATTCATATGTGGAGTTCATATTTTAATTCTGACATCTCTTTTATTTACCTGTTGCAAGTTTAGCTCCCTTTCCCCAACACCAGAGCTGTTGCTTTTTATCTTAAAACTAATATTGTCCATGTTTCTTGGCGTATAGGAAAAAGATAAAGCTTTAAATTCTCTGCAATACCATGTTGTTATATATTTGATGAAAATAGAAACATAATCATATATTTCGCCAATGTTGAACAACATAAGGAAGCCTAGTTTAGTTGTATTTAGTGACTGAGATACAATTCGTTCATGATGCAGGAGAAAAAGTTAATTTTTTTTCTAAATCATTATTGTACTAGTTTTATGTGGTTGACCTTTGTTAGACTTTTAGCTATATATCTTTTATATGTTCAACTGAAATTAGGATTGCTTTTCCCATTGATTAAAGCTTTTTCTAGTTATACAGTAGGTTTGGACTTTTCGAATTGATTTTTGCTTTCCTAGTTGAATAGGTTTTGTAGTGCTTAAAGTTTGAAGCCATACAACATTTGTTCCAACAAAAATTATAATTGAAGAACTTCACATTTTAATCACGAAAATTATAGTTTGCTGAGATGCAAGTATTTACTTTATCTCTGCTAATAATCATTTGTTCTTTCAATCTCTGCTATTATTTGTGCGATAAAGCTTGTTCCCTCATCAATTTTTGTATCAGAGCAGCTATCAATGCTAATTTATCATGGGGTATGAAACGGACAAGAATTCCTAGATTGACGCAAGCTCAAAGGATGCAGGAGATGCTGAGGAGAATAGAACACTTGTGCAAGAGAGAGAAAAACATGCAGAAGCCCAAATGGAGTATTGGAAGGCAGCGGTTACTTAGGCTAGGACCTTTCCAAAATCTTGTAGCTCGTGCCTTTCCCAAGCCATGATGGATTAGAAGAGTGGTTAGCGAGGGCTCTTTATTTCAATTAAGGAGTTTAAATTGGAGTTTCAGATTTCCTTGGAAGATTTCAAGAAGAAGACTTGCTTCATTGGGAAGGAAGCTTGAAGAATTGTTTTAAAAGGAGAAACCGCTGGAATAATGAAAGGAACTCTTTGAGCTGTAGCTAGCTCAACACCATTCAAGAAGCGCCATGGCACTCCAAGAATTCTTGTTGTACGTGGAATTGCACTACAATGTTGGACATGTTTAGAAGAGCAGTGGTCTAGACAAGGGAAATTGAAGATTTACTTTCTTCTCTCATTTTTCCTCTTCTTTTTTTGATCCAGATGACAAGTTGATGTGTCGTGTGTATATAAAGAGAGAACATAATAGCTACAAGAGGTCATAGGAGAACATAAATTTCAAAACAAGGTGAAAACTAGTTCATCCATGATAGTTGGGGAGAGATTATTTAGAACTGCCGCAGGAACTTCATATGCAGCAAACAGATAGTGCAAGTTCAAAATCATAAAGCAAATAACAAATAATTCCTGCTGTTGATCTAAATGAGAAAAACAAGTTGCTGGAAGTTATTTCTAGAAACTTCAAAGAGAGAGACAAGATGCTCCTATCTATAGGTTGACAAGGTGTCCGCAAAACCTTCACTGCTTTTTGAGGCCCTTCATATGTTGGGTATAACAAGCACGAGGTAAAAGTTGATTGGCAGACTTTTCATGGCTCATTTAGCTACACTACGACAGGTATTAAAGGAATCAGCATCTGGAGTTTCCAACTTGAACCCGTTGAGTTTCAATGGGTTGAAGCTTCAGCTTCAGATTTTACTCGAGGCTACTGGTAGCAAGTTACCGTAAGATTGTTGGAATGGTGGGTTCTGCTTGTGGATAGGATCGTGGTAAATAATGTTTTTTGTCATCGTGGTGATGGACAGGGACAATAAATGACGTATACATTCAATTTTAAAGTAGGGGCATGTCATGGGCATACCAATTAAGCCCCAATTTTTTCAAAACTCTTTTTAATCACATATTTTACTTACTTTTAACAGAATTTAATAAAAAAAATTAATTTTTTTTTTTCAAATCAAACAAGGGCTAAAGGTTGACAAATAGCATTACTATTTTCTCCTTTATTAATCTTATTGATGCACTATAATTACTTCAAATGCATTAAAAGAAGGGCCACCAACACCATTTGAAAAGGTAAATGCCGATTGTACAAATCAAGAAATGCTACTGCAATACAATTCAATTCAATTCATCTCTCAAATTCGAATGCAGGTTCGAAAGTAGGTTTTTGCACATGTGAGTCTCCACTTTATACTGTTGAATTTAGTAATTCAAAACTAGAGGATTACCGTCTCGAGCTTAGTGCCTTGCGTCTTTATGAAGCTGAAAAGCATCATTTATAACTAAAAGTAATGTCTGTATATGTTTGGTTGTCCTTAAAAATCATTTATTATAAAGCCCCCGTTTGGCACCCATTAATTTCTCTTTCTCATTCTCATTCTCATTCTCATTCTTCATTTCAACCACACATTCTTCAAATAAAATACTATTACACACACATCAAAAACTTTTCATTACTTTTCCACCACACATTCTCACATCAATCACTATTTCAAAATTTCTATTCTCCTCAAAATTATATTCAAACACACCCAAAAAAAAAAGTATGTTAGTAAAAAAGAGTAGTTTTGAAAAGATTAATTTATAGTAGCTTACTTATAATCATCTTCAAAGTTATAAATAAATTACTTATTTTGAAATTAAATTTTAATTTAATATTCAAATATAAAGAAGATAAAGAAAAAAANGAAGGGCCACCAACACCATTTGAAAAGGTAAATGCCGATTGTACAAATCAAGAAATGCTACTGCAATACAATTCAATTCAATCTCTCAAATTCGAATGCAGTTTCGAAAGTAGGTTTTTGCACATGTGAGTCTCCACTTTATACTGTTGAATTTAGTAATTCAAAATTAGAGGATTACCGTCTCGAGCTTAGTGCCTAAGCTGAAAAACATCATTTAAAAGTAAAAGTAATGTTTGTATATGTTTGGTTGTCCTTAAAAATGATTTATTATTATTATTAAAAAAAAAAAGTAATGTTAGTAAAAAAGAGTAGTTTTGAAAAGATTAATTTATAGTAGCTTACTTTTAATCATCTTCAAAGTTATAAATAAATTACTTATTTTGAAATTAAATTTTAATTTAATATTCAAATATAAAGAAGATAAAGAAAAAAATTACTTATAAGTGAAATATTACATATACTTGAAAACAAAAATTACCTTTCAAGAAAAGAAGATAAAAGATTAATATTTTACACTTTTTTTCATTTCACTATGTCCATTCAATCCATTAAATGTTTTCAATTTTCGTGTTTATGAAAAGGAAAAAAATTCAACATTTTTTTTTAAAAACTTGCAAATATTTTGTTGTACGATGACAAGAATTAGGCTTTGAACACACCAGGATGGAATAAGGTTAGACGCTGGCGAAATCCAATGATCATAATGCTTATGACAAGGGTAATTTACAATATAGAGAATATTTTATTATGTGAATGTGTGGTTGAAAATGATCCGTAGCAAAGCAGGCAAAAATTTGGGTGATTATTTATGTCATTTTATGTGGGATCATTTTAGTAAATAAGTTTTTTTTTTTTTTTTTAAGTGTAGTATAACCAATAAAGCCATCGTTTGGTATCCTTTAATTTATTTCTCATTTGTCGATTCTCATTTTCAATCACATTCACATAATAAACTATTTTACACGTAAATTCAATTTTTTTCCTACTTTTTAACCACACATTCTCAAAAAAAAAAAAAAAAAAATTCAAAACAAAGTTTTAAGTGTAGTATAACCAATAAAGCCATCGTTTGGTATCCTTCAATTTATTTCTCATTTTTCAATTCTCATTTTCAATCACATTCACATAATAAACTATTTTACACGTAGAGTCAATTTTTTTCCTACTTTTTAACCACACATTCTCTAAAAAATAATATTCAAAACAAAGTTTTTAAAATTCCAAGGCCACCAGGGGCAAAAATTGTGGTGTGAATATAATTATTTATATGAAAATGGTTGTAAACCTACGTACCAAATATTCACTACATATACCTTAATATGGGGGTGTAATTATACTTTATTTATTGTATTTTACATATTTACATTTTATATACTACATCTTGCATAATAGTTACAAAAAAAATTAATTTGTTGAAACTTCACAAATATGCCATTATTTATAACTAACGGACAAAAATATACTTTAAATCACAAACTATATATTACATTATATAACGTTTTTGCATATTATTTTCTAATTATTGATTTTTTATGAAATATTTTTTCTTTAAATAACGTTTTTTTTAATAAAATTTATTATCTTCTTTTCCTGAACTCTAACATATCAAATCAATAATAATAAAAAAAAAAATTAATAAGTTAATAAAATAATGAAATTTTTTAAAAACAATTCATTCAATCTTTAAACATTGCAAAAGTAAATAAAAAATTTAATTGTTATATTATTTAAAAAAAATTGTTATTAAAAACAATCAATTAAAATCATTTTTTTATTAGTTATTAGTTTGTAGCTAAAAGTCAATTTATTATTCATTTTAAGTTGGAATAATTTGCAACTTAAAATTTTTTTGACTTTCTTTCAATCTTAATTTTTTCAACATCCGTCTAGATGACACTGTGTAATATACTGAAATAAAGATAGAATTATGTGAATCATTTAATTGTATCCCTCATTCGATATTACATATTCCGATGTTTTTATTCTTGTGGTGTTAAACAACATTATTCAAAAATCTAAGAATCTATTAATATTTTGTTAATATGTCAAGTGTTACAAAAGTCTAGAAAGCAAATTATTTAATAGACAAAAGTATAAGACAACTTTTGTCTATTAGCTTGAATGATTGGGTTCCCCGAAACAATTGGGGACCATATTCAGCGCAAATAAATGAAATATAGTAAGTGTTTGACACTCATTTTAATGGGTTGAAAGTTTTTGGAATAGTGATTGATGGGAGAATGTGTGGTGGAAAAGTGGTGGAAAATTTTAGATTTGTGTATAATATTATTTTATTTGAAAAATGTGCGGTTAAAACGAAGAAGGAAAAAAATGAGAAAGAGAATTGAAAAGATAGATGAATGCTAAAAGAAAAAAAAAATTAGATGAAAATGAAATTGAATTAATTTTTTTGAGAATAAAAAATCGTTAAATAAATTAATATGTAATAATGCATTACAATAATGTATAATTGTAATTGTTTTGACTTTCTTTCAATCTTTTGCACTTTTCTGATCCAATCTTTTGATGTTTTGTCTACTTTGACTTTGAAAGCACTTTTAGTCAATCACATCAATTCCAATTGGTTCAAGTACCTTAAAGCTGGCAGAATCCTATGCTTCTTGGATAATGTCCTCTACATTAATTTATGGGTAATTCTATTTGTACAATGGATGGTTGATAATGAAAGTTGACAATCCCTCACATGCATGTGTGTCTCACGTGATTAAAAAATTTCAAAAAAAACAAGTCGCCCCTCCCATTGTGAGTTGATAATCCAACATTGTCATCCTCCATTGTACATATAGCATGATTGTTTATCCACATATACAATCGATCAGGTTTTATTCTCGCTTTTCAATGCGAGGTTTTTAGACTTTAACTGAATCCGTTCTTAATTTTTCCGGTCTAACTTAGAAGACTAAGCGAATTTTCAATATCCATATATTCTGGGAGAGAACTCTGAACTGAAGGGACAAAACAATTCTCTAATTCTTAAAACTTCACTAATTACACAGCCCAAATCATTGTAGTTCCCAATCTCTAATTCTTGTCTACATTACCAAAAGGACAGCCAAGTATGACACAATCAGACAAAAGAACGAAAAGTAATTCCTCCAGGACCACTCCAAAACTCAAATCTTTTCAGAAAATGTGCTATTTGCTCCATAAATTCACAAGATCAGCGAGGTCGAGTTATGAAATGAGAGTATTTTTCAACTAGATTCCCATCAAAAACTGTTGTGGATCAATCTTCAAACTGTTTCTTGGAGTTATCCTCACTGTCAAAGGATGTTTTGGATTGTATTATAATCCGTACTCCTGAAGCAAGCCTGTTGGAAAAAGGTGAAAAAGATTTCAGACCACATGAACAAGGACAGTATTGAACAACATATTTGAGTGCCCCTTTGTAAGAGGGAATTGACAAGAACTTAACTTTCTTCGATTTTGATCACATTTTCCTTCTCGTCTCTGAAAGAATCTACTTTCTTCGACTGATTTTTTTCAGAGAAAGGCTCTTCAATTCTCTTGCTTCCGCCATTAGCCGTGCCAGATGTAATGTTTTGTGAACTATCCACTCGATCAGATGAGATTCGAGGTCCCTCAGAGAGAGGGGATCTCATTGATTCACATCTTGTCTGCTTAATCAATGAAGCCTTGATGGACATTGGAATGCACTTTGAAAGCGTGGAACTCGCTTCTTCCTTGTCTTTGACTGAATCAAACTTTTTGTCCAATCTGCATTTCCAAATAATTCTTTTATTTCATTATAATAATTTACAGGGGAAGAATATAAGTGCTTAATCACCTGGTCTAAAAGCTCAAGCAGTTAAAGAGGGAACAACTTCTTTATTTAAATTACGTCTTCAAAAGTATGCACTAGATAGACCACCATTATACAATGGTACACATGTAGAAATGACTGGGTGACATATAAGCAGATAACAAACTGACCTATCCGCATTGTATGAAGAAGATCGTTTTAGAGTAGTGACTCCTTCCTTGGGCACACTTGTCTCGACCAAACTTCCACTGAAGTATTCCTTGTCTTCCAACCTCAGACCCATCAGCCTAGGATTCTCAGAAAGACAATCCAGATCTCCCAGCATCACAGATGTCGAGAACAATGGAGACGGAAATTTGGAATGTGAAAAGCTAGGCTTGTAGTTGGGGATTAGGCCAAAACTGGGACCCTTCACCCCTATTGACCCACAAGATATCAATTGCATTAGCATATTTGAAGCCTTGAATTTTGTGTTTGATGGCATACGAAATTCCTCTTCTTCAAGTATTCTGAAGCTATTGAGCTTACTGGCATCCGCTCTGATGAGAGATTCCAAGGTGTCAGTCCGACCACTCGCAGAAGATGCACTAGATGTAGACGGAGGTGGCGAAACTAAATCCCTGCAGATCTCTGAAGTTTCCTTTACTAGAGGAACCTGGTTTTGACAAGGCTCGTTCCTCTCAGGCTCTAGTGATCCGTCATCAGTAGAAACACCTCTTGTGCAAGTCTCTCGAATTTTAACAACTGTGCCAGCATTTTCCTCCGTCTGAGTGGAGGCATCAGTTAGACCATTGGTCTGGTAAACCTTGTACTCTGTCAAGCTTAAAGGAGCGTTCGAAGAGTAAGTTTTCCCAACACTGGACTCTGGAGACACAGCCAATGAACATGGACGCTGAACTGGAGGAGACAGCTCATCATCCTGAGAACTCTTTGTAGTTCTACCATTCAAGCTGGAGGAAGATGAAGATTCATCTTGGTTTCTGGAAGATGGTGGTTCTGGTAATACTTCTAAATTCTGTAATGCAACATTTCTAGCAGGACTAAATCGACCTAAAAATGCAAAAACGTTCAGTTTCAAGAACTCGGATTTTGCAAGATACATTATCATTATCAAATCCATCTAGACATTGTTTACTCTTTCTGTAAAAGGTGGTATAATATCAAAAATTGAATTCTTCTGTCACATCTTTTATATATATTTTTTTCTCTCAATTCCATAGACATTGCTACCCTTCCTCTGAAGTCTGAAGCCTAAATAGACAATTAAGAGTACAGAGTAAACATAAGCACTTTCTTAAGATTTCTTTACATCTTATCTCTTGAATTCCCATCTACTTGAGAAACATAGAACAATTGTCAACCTTAGTATCAAGTCACAAGCCTCAGTATTTCTGCAGTTTCATTATAAAGACTACAATTGCAAGGTTGTTACCAAGTGAAGCATATCAAAGTAGATTTTATCGAAACTCATTAAGTCAGTATCTGGTACAATTTCGCCTACGTTTTTCACACTATAAAAGAACAAGTTGGCATTGAGTTCAATTAAAACTAGTTGTTCTCGCATGAAAGCAGTAAGTCATGCAGATATACACAATGGCAGCATGAGAACTGAATTACCAGAATCAGGTTCGTCAAAGAGCTCAGAACCTTTGAGAACATACTCGTTCCCATGAGCAGGAAGGATGAAATCATCTTCACAAAGATCATGCCATACGTACCCATTCTTATAACTCCTGCATCCATGCACCACCACAAAGAATTCAGCACAATCAATCACAATTCGAACTTATAGAACCAAATATAAAATCGATTTTAACCATTTTCACCTCTTGCAAGACCAAGAATACATCGAAGCCATGCCTTTGCCTCTCAAAACATTAAGCCTTTCCATCACATCTACAGAACAGACAGAAGTTTCAAAAACCAAAAACACTTGCATAAAAATAATTACATTTATAATACAAGCATAGGAGTAAATTGTACAGTACCTCTCAAGTAGAGGCCATCAGGAGAAGAGAGAGGGACTTCCATAAAATGTGGATGTTCGAGCTGTCGATTCCTGCATAGATAGTAAACTACAGGCACTTTACCATTATGCTGCTGTTGCTGTTTATAGTGATACTTGGGCGATTTTTCCGTCCATACTTTCGTTCTTTCTGGGCTAACTTGCCTGTATTTCTTCATTCTCCCCTCCATTTTTCGCCTGGAATTATTCTGAATCCTCTCGATTATTAGTGACTTTCACGGAAACCCGTTAAAATTTGTGTTGCTGTTCTTCAATTAATTCGTGATTTGAAAACAAAAACTCCTGGATTTTTATAGTCTATTCTAATATTTGAGATGTAGTAGATCTGGAAAAGAGCTCAAAAAGGTTAAAATCTCCAACATACCAAATACAAAGATAAAAGAAGGTCAATAATATTGCATAAATTCACTTATTTATACATAACGCACTACATAATGCTTGAAAAACTTGCCCTGCTATCAAATAGCAAAATAAAGAACAGATTAAAAGATACCCAGAAAATGCAAAAAATGATCAAATGCAAGTAAAACCCAGCTGCGGTTTAACAAAATCAGTGGCCTGCTTCGTTGTGCATTTGTGTGAGTTTCCAAAAATCAGAAAGGAAAAAGGCGAACCTGGGAGTCAAATTAAAAACAAGACGCCCGCATTTAATGTATCAGTGTGTGTCTGTATGCTATTCTGATGGCTTTGTGGGGGACTGATCAACAAAGTGACAGCAGAGTTTATAGATAGAGAAAGTAGGAGAGAAGAAAGGGACTGGACCGAGTGGCGGAAGGGCGAAGAAACGAAGTTACTTTGTTCTACATTTGATTTTGGCATTTTACGCTCTAAGTACTCACAAAACAGACAGAAATGTATCAGTGTATTTGTGTCTTCTCCAAAAGGTAAATTTTGATTCGGGATTGTTGCATTTTTATATTGTAAGTGTACGATAGCAGACCCAAGGGGGGTCCTGAGGGCACGTGCCCCCGACTTTTGAATTTTTTTTTTTTTGTAAAGTTATGTTTGGTATCGATTGAAATCTAAATTAAGGTTAACAATTAATTTTGATATCATATTTCTTGGAATCCATAACTATTTAACTTTTATCAAAATTTACTAAAAATTTGATTTTAAACTCTACCAAACAGGGCAAAATCACAATAAATTTGAATTTTGATAACAAGCTAATTTTAAAAATTTTCCAACAATTATACGTTAATCGAATCTACAAATTGCTTATTCGATAACATGCTAATTTTAAAAATTCTCCGACGATCGTACGCTAATCGAATTTACAAATTGCTTATGTCATCTCAAAACTTATTTCGAGAACTACATTATGGGCATATCGAATAGTCCAAACAGATATCGAAAATGGTTAAACGTGAGTTTTAAAGAAAGACGTCTAACTCGCATTTTTTTAAAAAAAAATTCAATTATTTCATTAACATTTATTATTTTTGCGATACAAAATTTTCAATATAATTTTCACAATTTTATTAGGAAATTTTATATGGAATATGACATCAAAAAATTTTGAAATTTTACATCCGAAAAAGTCATCTCTCATGTAAATTTTCGGATGCAAAATTACATGGGATATAATTTCTTTAGACGTAAATTTTCGATTGTAAAATTTCTCTCAACTTCTTTTCAAGTTCGATTGTGCCCCCTAACTTTAAACTTCTGCGTCCGCCCCCGGTAACAAATAATATGATGAACCTTTGGGTCCAAATGATTATTTCTACAAGAACTATACTTTAATACTTAATTTAATATTTCTAATTTCTATAATTCTATTTGACGAAAAGTAAAAAATTGTGATTGTTATGACTATTTTTCTAACTATATCTAATAATAAAAAAATAGCAAAATGAACACAAGAATCGATTTAAAATTCAAATATGGAATGACATATTAGAGTATAAAAATTTCATCTATTGATTACATTTATGTCTTAATTCAAGATTCGTAAATCTAATGTAGTGTTCGATTGAATATTTCTATTGTATTCAGTTTATCCATCTCGAGTTCTCATTGAACTTATTTAACTAATTCAATCTCATATCTTTATGTGAATCAATATTAGCTAAACACAACATTAGGTTTAAGAGTTTATTTAACGATCACAATAATTATTATAAGTATCTCTACGTTTCGAATTTTACCATATAATCTAAGTCTAAAACTCGCTTTTTGATTCGTAAAAGATTCACAAAACCATTAAATTATTTATCAAGTAATTCAAAGCATTAAACTCATGAAAAATATCAACACATATATGATGAAAAGAACTAGAATCTTGAATAAAATACATATATGATTTTAAATAGATTATATTGTTCGCCATAATAAAGAGTTTAGCTACTCATCATGTATGAAGAAAAATAAATAACAGTAATGGAGTACATCACCGGAGTTTGAATTGAAATGTAGAGAAGTGGATGTGTTTTGCACTAAATTCCTCTTTTTGTTCCAAATCTTGATTCCAAACCCTTGATTTGTTGTTTTTTTCTTTGATTTTGCTCTCTAATTCTCAAGTTGTATTTTGTATATCTCAATGTGTGGAACTCTCAAAAGTGCTTCCATTCTTTTATTTATACTTCTCCTAATGTTTTTCCCGAATTTGGAGACTTTATAAGCTTAAACAGGCAAACAAATCACGCATTAGATGATAGCGGACGGCACTTAGGCCATGTGAGTGGCACTGTGACATTATGCTGGCGCGCCGCCTCTTGGGAAAAATTCATCATTGCACATCCTCTAATATTTTTATCATTACTTTCTTTTCAATATCCGATTGAGACGATTTAAATTGGGTTGTAAAGATAACTTAAAGGGATACAATTTTACTAGAATAACTTTTTTTCAAATCGGACTTTTACTATGTCAAAAATGGGTCTCAATCTCAGGTTAAAAATTTGGAACATACTTGTGCGGTTAAAAATTAATTTTTGAAGATATTTTGATCATATTTCACTCATTTTTTACTTCTGATTTCATTCAATTGACACCTAGCATTCTCAAAACTTCATCGTGAGATCCGACACAACTTTGAGTATTTACACTTTGATCCCTAAACTTTGAATCTTGCTCTTTTCGTCAATTTTCGATTATTTATTTCTTTCAATTTCACTTTCATTCATCTAGTTTCACCTAATAAATGAAATGTTAAATAAATTTAGTTATAACTGTTCAAAAGAACTATTAAATATCTATATTTTTATGTTCAAATAAGTGTATAAAATATATTTATCAGTGCTCACTAAACTTTCAAAGAAATTTTAATTAGGTTATTAAACTTTAATTTATCTACCTCAACTCCAACTTAGTTTAAATTTCTCCACCATGTCCCGTTTTGTCACCTATCATTTTTACGAAAAATGCTTATTTGGTGCCCATCATATGACTTGTATTCCATGTAATCACGAAATAGTTTAATGAAGGTTATGGCAGGCTTTAGTTAAAATATTAAAAGATATATTTATTTTATTTTTACACTTTTATAGTGTAAAACAGTGGTAAATGGCATTTCACACATCATTGACGAGGAAGATTGGTTGTGGTACATTTGTCAATGAAGAATTTTTTTATAAATTTGGAATAAGTCAACTTAACATCGTGGTGAAGTTTAAAAGTAAAATTGAATATAAGTTACCAAATTGAAATTAAATTGAAGTTTAGTAACCCATGAGACAATTTTAAGTTTAGTGATCCAATAGAAATTTCACTAAAAGTTGAGTGACCACATAGGAAAGTTAATCACTTGAATTTTTTTTATTTTTTATTTTTAAAAAAATGGGTCAAAAGAAAGAGTTAAGAGTGTAGCAATGTTCTAAAATGCACGTCTAGACTGTGAGACTCGAAGCTCGTCTCGCACTTAGACGCCTTTTTTTCCAATTTCTAAACGCTTGAATTTTTTCATTCTTCCCCCCTAGACATATTTATTAATTTTTTTCTTTTTCTCTTTTTAAAAAAAAATCTTTTATTTGACTTTAGTTTATTGATTTTTTTTTATTTTTAAAAAACCTTTTCATTTGACTTTAATTTCAAAATTTTAAAGGATTTTATTTGTACAAAAGTTAAAAATGAATTTATCTAAATAGTTAAATAAAATTTAAGCGATGATACTATCTATATTATGTAATTATAATATTGAGACTCATTATTTTGTTGTAAACTTTAAAAGCGCATATGAAGTTCCTATAAATTTATTAAGGCCCCGTTTGTCTCCCATTATTCCAAAATATTGTTTGCTACAGTAAAATTCTCCACCATGCATTCACCCAATAAAATATTCTACACACAAATCAATAAAGTTATTTTATTTTTCAATCACATATTCTCCAAAAAATACTATTCATTACTCTATTTTTCTCTCAATAATGGGAGACAACCACACCTTCA